GGGCCAGAAGGCTAGCTCCATGCTTCCTTGTCACCTGGTTACGAGGGAGCATGGAGCCGTCTTCCCGGCAAATCAGGAAGCTGGGGGGGCGGGTAATGACTCACCGCCCAGCTTCCTGACTGGCCAGCTTCCCGACTAATCAGGAGGCTGGGGGGTGAGTCCTTACACGCCGCCCGGCTTCCTAAACGGGACCTTCTTTATTGGCGAGTACCGAAAAAAAAATTGCTGCATCCGTAGTAAGCAGATATCATTTTTGGGTTAAAATCGAGAGGCGTTGCTTTATGTGTAATGCTGGATTGGAATTTGTTTTGAGATGGAGCCTTTAAGTGCTGCGTAAATTGTCGGCGCTATATAAATACCTGTCATAAATAAATACTGTCCCTTTAACATTTGTTCTCTTTTATTTTTTTTCCCCCCTAAGAATGCTACAAGGTGGTTATGCCAACAGCAAGGACGACGGAGGACCCCAGTTTGCTGAAGTCTTTGTAATCATCTGGTTCGGAGCCGTGGTCATCACACTGAACTCCAAGCTTCTTGGGGGCACCATGTAAGATCACCCGCCTATCCGTCATCACATGACATGCATTCAATGGTTTATAGAAGGGATACGGATGAGGGGGACGTGTACTGTATGTTGGGAGGAGTGATATTTCCTTACTCCCAGTTTCCTTTCTGTTGAATCTCATAGAAGTAAATTATATCTAAAGTAGATCCTGAGGCCAACTTTTTTTTTTTTGCTAATTTAAGATGACAAGGTGATCACATGACTTGGTTCTCTTTAAGGTGACATTATGGGTCTATTAAACGCGTAGCGTCACCTTTCCCCTGCACTCTCCTATTCAAGTACAGATGACATTTGAATAGCTTCTTCCCAGGCTTCTCTAGCCAGGGAATGACAGCTGGGGGACCGGAAGTGATGCCATCAGCGTCGCTCCCGGCTCCATTCAGCGGGGTGGAGATTGGTGGACGGATTTTCACCGGTCTCTCTCCCGTGTACCCGCTGACACCTGTAATGCCAGTCTCAGGCATTACAGGTGTCGGCGAGTACAGGGGAGGGAGACCAGGATGAACAGCGGAGCCTGGGAAGCAAGGCAGGTATGTTGGGCAGTGGGGGGGAGGTACTTTTCACCGGCCCCTGGAAGCGATCTGGCAGCAGCTCAGCAGTCAGAATCACTTCCAGTGTAAAGCCGACCATATGGGTCAGTATAAATCTACCTAGGGTTGACCTTTTTGAGACGAGAATATTTATAAGGATGTGATTATTTTTTCTTTGCAGTTGATAACCAATAACAGGTCCTCTGTTGCAGAACACACAGAAGTATGACACGTAGAATTGTGTTTCCGTCTCTCCGCAGCTCCTTCTTCCAGAGTCTGTGTGTGCTGGGGTATTGTATCCTGCCCCTCACGGTGGCCATGCTGGTCTGCAGGCTGCTGCTTCTGGCCAGTGTAAGCACGGTGACGTTCATCCTGCGGCTGGTCGTGGTCGTCGCCATGTTCGCTTGGTCTACGTTCGGTTCTCCCTTTTTTATATTTATATTCATTAACTTGTCATTTTTTTTTATTTGCAGCCTCAACTGCCTTCTTAGCGGACAGTCAGCCGCCCAACCGCCGAGCCCTGGCCGTCTACCCCATATTCCTCTTCTATTTTGTCATCAGCTGGATGATTCTGACCTTCAACTCCACTTCCGGGTAGTTCCGAAGTTGGGAGAGGGGAGGGGGGGTGTCCTATGTTCTAGATTGAAGGACTTGAATAAGCTCGGACGCTGAGCTGTGAAGGATCGCCTATGTCCAGGTGTCTGAATGACCAAAGTCACCAATGCTGAACGGAGCTGCCCAGACACCGGGCGTCTGCTTGCTCTGTGGCGTACTTTGTACATAACCCCGCATATATAAATATTCCTCCTTTTCCGCAGCTGCAAATGCTGTAGGTGGGTGTAAAGTATTGTTTGAGAATGGCCGGGAGCGGGGCCTGGTCCCCCATCGGTAAGAAACAGATTTTACTACGGATAGAAATCGGCATCTTTTTTTTTTTGGTTTCCGCTGCCATTGAAAAGGATTCCATTGCGGCCGCGTATAGTAGAAGGGGCACTTTCCTAGATACCCGGTGTCGCCCTAAAGACGGACTTTGCACTAAAAGCCTTGCTTCATCCCACTTCCTCCCCTTTTGCAAATGGCCGCCTGATACCTTTAAAAAAACATTACCCAACATTTCCATATGGAGAAGGTGGCACCATAACCCCCGAAGGTGAGGTGTTGGGTGCCCCAGCACAACGCAGGAATGTCTTTTCTCCGCGGAAGGACCGTGACGCCACTCTCGCTTGAAGGAGAACTATGGGGTGAGGGCTTTCCCCATAGTTCTCCAAAGGGTAACGGGAGGACACAAACTAGCGTCCTCCCGTCACCCAAAGCTGCAGCTCGCGGTATACTGAGACGCCGCAGCTGAACGGATCCCGACAATTAGGGGGGGGTGCAGACGGTGATGCAAAAGAGAGCTGTGGACGGGGGTGCAGAGGTTCACTGTGGACATGGGCGAACAGGTGAGCTGGGGTGATGCAAAAGAGAGCTGTGGACGGGGGTGCAGAGGTGAGGTATGTTCAGGGGGTGCAGAGGTGAGGTGTGGATGTTGGGGTTCTAATCCTTCCTCACTCTATAGGATAATTACAGTTTGTAGGAAGGCGGGGATGGAGAGTCTTGTAGGACCTCATTGGAATGTGACAAAATGGCTGCCAGCCGGCCCTACGACTAATCTATAACCTGGGGGTCAGATCTAACAGTTCATGTTGTTTTGGGTCATCGAAAATTCTCATCTATAGCTGAACTCCGGGCACAAAGCTAAATACAGAGATACAATCCATATAACGGAGACGTTTACCTGCCAATGCATTTGTATTTCTGTCCATCCAGTCATGAGATTTACACAGTGCAGTCAGGAGGATAACGCCACTGGCTTTGCCATAGTTAATACAGTAGTATCATCGTCCCTTCCCTGTGCTAGGACGGTGAAGGAGCAGCAGCAGGCTAGCGAGGTCATCCTTCTGCTCTCTGCTCCTGTTTGCATTATCCTGATTGGCTTCCTGTCCTGGAGTTCAGCTCTGATGTATACATTGCCATATACAGATGGCAGGGCTTCTAAAGTGCACCTGTCCAGGCACTTGGCGTGAGCTGTACACGTGCGACACATGGGGGCCGTGGATTGCTTTTCCCCATGTCGGTGTATTGGGGAATCACTACAGTGCAGCTTACTACAATGAGGTGATAGTACATTGGGAGGGGGCATCTGACAAATTCCTTTCAGGTCGATGATTGTTTAAAATGAAAAAAAAACCAACTAATATGCAATCTATATTTTTTAATTTATTAAAGTTTTTTGTTTTTATTTAATACGACATCGTCTCCTTTATTGTGACATCAATGGTATCAAACATCTCAGAGCTAATCTTCAAATAGTTTTTATTGACGGTGGTCGGGGACAGAGGGGTAGGTTTATAGATGGGTAGTCGGGGACAGAGGGGTAGGTTTATAGTTGGGTAGTCGGGGGCAGAGGGGTAGGTTTATAGTTGGGTAGTCGGGGACAGAGGGGTAGGTTTATAGATGGGTGGTCGGGGACAGAGGGGTAGGTTTATAGATGGGTGGTCGGGGGCAGAGGGGTAGGTTTATAGTTGGGTAGTCGGGAAGGAGGAGCTTTGCTACCGGCGCTTCACAGGAAGGCTTCCGAGACCTTGCTGAACGCCTCTGACATCACAGCGACATGTCCTCCACGCCTCTGACATCACAGCGACATGTCCTCCACGCCTCTGACGTCACAGCGACATGTCCTCCACGCCTCTGACGTCACAGCGACATGTCCTCCACGCCTCTGACGTCACAGCGACATGTCCTCCACGCCTCTGACGTCACAGCGACATGTCCTCCACGCCTCTGACGTCACAGCGACATGTCCTCCACGCCTCTGACGTCACAGCGACATGTCCTCCACGCCTCTGACGTCACAGCGACATGTCCTCCACGCCTCTGACGTCACAGCGACATGTCCTCCACGCCTCTGACGTCACAGCGACATGTCCTCCACGCCTCTGACGTCACAGCGACATGTCCTCCACGCCTCTGACATATACAGGGTGGTCCAGGATTGCATTGTAACAACTTCCGGCCAAATAAACTTCTTTCTATTGTTACAAATGTAACTTCTTCTTCTTTGTGTCTGTGGCTCTCTGGGGCCCCCTTGTGGCCATTCTGAGCGAATTCTGAAATCAGAAGTTGTCTGTAGTAAGAAACATGGAAGTGCAGAAGGAGTTAAAGTCCATCTCAGGCCAGAAGGTTTTCTGTTTTGGATGGAGTGGGGAAGGGATCCTTCTGTGCAGAGAGACCACTGCTTCCACATAGAGAACAAGGATCCTTCTGTGCAGAGAGACCGCTGCTTCCACACACAGCAAGGATCCTTCTGTGCAGAGAGACCGCTGCTTCCACATAGAGAACAAGGATCCTTCTGTGCAGAGAGACCACTGCTTCCACATAGAGAGCAAGGATCCTTCTCTGCAGAGAGACCACTGCTTCCACATAGAGAACAAGGGTCCTTCTCTGCAGAGAGACCACTGCTTCCACATAGAGAACAAGGATCCTTCTCTGCAGAGAGACCACTGCTTCCACATAGAGAACAAGGATCCTTCTCTGCAGAGAGACCACTGCTTCCACATAGAGAACAAGGATCCTTCTCTGCAGAGAGACCACTGCTTCCACACAGCAAGGATCCTTCTCTGCAGAGAGACCGCTGCTTCCACATAGAGAACAAGGATCCTTCTCTGCAGAGAGACCGCTGCTTCCACACAGCAAGGATCCTTCTCTGCAGAGAGACCACTGCTTCCACATAGAGAACAAGGATCCTTCTCTGCAGAGAGACCGCTGCTTCCACACAGCAAGGATCCTTCTCTGCAGAGAGACCACTGCTTCCACATAGAGAACAAGGATCCTTCTCTGCAGAGAGACCGCTGCTTCCACACAGCAAGGATCCTTCTCTGCAGAGAGACCACTGCTTCCACATAGAGAACAAGGATCCTTCTCTGCAGAGAGACCGCTGCTTCCACACAGCAAGGATCCTTCTCTGCAGAGAGACCACTGCTTCCACATAGAGAACAAGGATCCTTCTCTGCAGAGAGACCGCTGCTTCCACA